AAGATTCATATTATCTTTTAATTCCATTTTTCCACGAACTTTTTGAAGTACCCTCATATATAATATATATCTTAAATCTTTGGTTCTTAATTGGAAGCACATATCAGAAGTACCTGGGGAGTTTTCTAACCACATACGTCTACTTCCTAAACCCCAGGACATATATCGGGGCCACTGAGGAAGGGCTAGGCCTCAAAAAGATCTCCAAGAGGATTCTGACATGTCCATCACCTCTTCCCCCTCTCCTGGTTGATCTAAATATTAAGGGCCTCTGAGTCAAAGGTCTTATGCCCCTTACATGACGGGTGCAGTTCTATTTTTAATTAGCTAACATTTTGTAGAAACAATCAGTATTTATTCAAGTTTTTGGCCAAAAAAGGCGCATTATGCAGGTACTTCAAAGAGTTCATGGAAAGATTTGCATTCTCTTTTAATTCTATTTTTCTGCCACTTTCTTGAAGTACCCTCGTGTACTATGACACATTCCTTCCTCTCATACACTAGCGTAGCACCTGTTGTTGGTTTGTTTTTTATCCATCTATGGGTCCATTCTGTTCCATATCAGTACAAACCAATACCTGTTTGCCATTGTGAGTTACAGATGACAGAATAGTCCTCAATGTCTTGAAGCCCATTGCGATATCCAACAGATGAGCCGCAAAGAAGAAGTTGTTGTAGTGGCCCAAGATTGACATGGTTGTGTACCAGGCAAGGTAGAGAAAGGACTGTGGGAAGGGAAGAAACTTAGCAGCTTTTTAGGCATTCATGCCTCATGATATACTCATTAAACCATTTTCTCTCATTTGGGGGAAGAGAGTAAAGATGGAGGATTTAGGTGCCGAGGTGCTGTGGGCTGGCCCAAGAATTGGCGGGTGAAGTCCTATCTGCCTTAAATCTCTTATGTTTAAGAGAGAAGGGTCCCCCAGCATGTTGAAGGTTCCCGGTCTTTGAAAAGCAATCCCTGAATCTTTCTGGGTATCCTCCATAGCTTGTTTCCCTGTGGCATCTAATGACATCCCTGAACTTGGGGTGCAGAATCTTGTTTTTCCAGGTGCAATACTTACATTGTCAGTAAAAACAACCCCCAGCTTCCAGATATGGTACTTCATGTCGATAGAACTTAGCCTAAAGAAGAACAAATAATTTCAAAACATATAAATGTCAAGATTTAGTTAAGTGTTTTATAAGGGGGAAAAAATAAAGTTTTTTCTCTCTGGTTTAATAACCTAAATATGGCTCTGAGCTTTACCAAGTTGTGTGTCCCCATTAGAGAGAGAAAGCTTGAATCACACCTCCTGAAATTTTAATTAGTCTTTTTCTTTCAGCTCTGTGGGGCATAAAAACTGATTGGTCTTCAAATTTTTTAAAGCAGTGCTCTCCCAATATGTCAGAGCCTAGAAGAAACACCTAAACCAGACCAGAGCCTGCGAGAACAAAGACACACTTGCAATTTTTCCCTCTAGCATGCTGAAGAGGAATTGGAAAACAGTGGATCTATTTTAGTCACTTTAGATTTTTAACTCCTAAGCTCTGTACCAGGACACCAGAGAAGCTGCTTCTGCTTTGGTTTCTTCTACTGGGCTAAAGTCAAGGGCGTTTTTGTCCAAACCCAGGAGTTCAGCAATGCGCTCTGCTCCGTAGAGATCGCCATACTTGTTGATCACCTAAAGCAGAGAGGATGACAGGGTGAGCTCAGGCCATACGCCACCATCCATCCATGTTTTCTCTAGCTCCAGGGTCTTCCAAGGAGTTAAGACATGATGTAAAATGCAATAGGAGAAGGGGAAAAAACAACCTCCAGAGAAAGCAGAAGTGATAAAGACAATTAAGTGAAAACTGCTTTTCAAACATATTTTTTGGAGGGGAGAAAAAGCCTAGTGTGCAGAAGACAACAAGGTTGTGTTAAGCTGTTTAAGTCAGATGAGTATAGAAATGAAGCCAAAAACCTACACACATGCATATACAACCCCTTGTTATTCTTCTGCTGATACCATCACATTTATTCATGCTCGTGTATGGAGAACTTAAAAAAAAAA